TTGCAGTTTGTGCAAAAGAATTCTATCAGTACTATATCATTAGACAATAATGATACTGGTCTTCACTCAATGATCAATTATATATATAATACTTGTAATTTTAAATAGATCAAATCTAAAGAATTGTAAATAGACGAAGAATACTGTCAACGAAATCAAATTGATACAGTCTATTAGATGGAAAACAAAAAAAATTATTATCCACAATTCATTTTATTATGCTTCAGTTGATTAAAAGTCCATTGTTTTTTATCTCTACGTATAACATTCAACCTTTGCTGAAGATATGTGAAAGGAAACTTCAAAATTCACTTATTCATCAAAAGCTTAGAGGAACTCAAGCTGTAAACTTGACCGTTCTAAATAAGACCGATCACGACATTATTGTAGAAAAAATGGTGAGACTATAATTTATGGACGACTTTTGAGCGACACGGAAGTGAACTTGAAAGTGAACACTTACTGATTAGGACTAAATGACAGTTATAAAGCAGTTAGAATGCCCATGTACAGTTGATGGTTAGGGCTGAAAATTATATTTAGGGTTTTCATCACGAACTGACATCAGCTATAATACCAAAACTCTATTTATTCAGATGGATGAGTGAATCTCGCGCCGAAAATTCGTGACTCGTTATCTTATATCTCATTGACTCATCCATAAATAAAGAAGGAACGAATTGAGCGAAGAAATTTCTTTTCAATTAGATTTTCATCATAGCTTTACATTAATTTATATACGTTTTACAATAATAATGTAATACTCATCGAGTAGATATGTTACGTAATAATTACATAATGATATTTAAATTAACATTGATTAATTGGAAGAAGGTGGATTTTTAATATTCAAAGTGATCAAGAAGTTGATACGTTGCGTAATGTAAGAAACAAAGAAGGAACAGAATTTTAACGGATGGTCAATAGGATGGTAGTTACGTATGAATATATATTAGTGTTGAGCCATGATGAAAAACTAATTGAAAAGAAATTTCTTCGCTCAATCCGTTCCTTCTTTATTTACCAAATGCCAAAATGGGAATTTTCACTATATTCAAACGTTCTGAGCAAGCATTTGCGTTTAAGGTTCTTAATGAGTATCTGAAGTATAGCGCAAAGCTCAGTGAGGCGATGACAAACGTTTATTTTATAAAGGAGTGCATAGAAACCAACTTGTATCCAAAGTTGGATTGGAAATCTTTACGTCGCTCTCGAGTTCGACCAAATGGAAAGACTCTCAAACGCTACGCTCTTAACCTAATCGATTCTCTAAACTCACACATTGGCGAGATGATAAAAAATATCAACGAGAGAATTTATGCTGTAGATGATCTCCCTGATAAATTAAGACATCAATATCTGGACTGTGTAGAAATGGTTGTTAACTCAAGAAAGGAAAAGAAAAGAATGAAACTTAAGAAGAATCTAGACAAACAGATTCCAGAAATGAAATTTCCATTCAATCCAGGTCAGTACGTACACGATTTCTCTAGTGTTATGCTGGATAAAACTGCGTTAGAATCGTTATCATTAGGCCCTAAGTTTTGTGATTTCAAGAAAACAATAAATAAAATGGACGTTGAAATTCAATTCGAAAATCTTTATGCTCAAACGGCAGAACTAGTAACTTCATCAAAAGATAATATCGAAAGATTTAAATCAACACTAGTCGACTGTTGTTTTAAATATTTAATTCATAGACACAACACGAAAGAGAAAAATTGACGAAAAAAACATACAGAAGCTTTAAGAAAACTTAAAACTAATGACAATTTATTAATCATGAAACCGGACAAAGGACATGGGATAGTACTAATGGATAAAAATGACTACATAAACAAAATGAAAGCCCTTTTAAATGATGAAAACAAATTTCAAAAACTGGCTGTGAAGAACGACGTAGCAGATATGATTGAAAAGCAATTAACAGATTCACTGAAAGAAATTAAACAACAAGGTGTTATTCCACAAAAGGAGTTCAAAATGTTGGAACCTACAGGAACGATGACATCAAGACTATATGGTCTACCAAAAATACATAAAAGTGACTTGCCCCTTCGACCGGTTTTAGATATGAATAACACAGCGTATCATACTATAGCAAAATGGTTGGTTCAAATTCTTAAACCATTACACAAAGAAATTGTCAAGCACTCCTTTGTCAAGGATTCCTTTGAATTTGTTGAGAACATAAAAAATCTATCAGTCAAGAATAATTTCATGTTATCACTTGATGTGTCATCTTTATTCACTAACATTCCACTACTAGAAACAGTTGATTTTATTTGCAATGAACTAACAGGGAGGCGCATTGAAACCCCGATTCCAGCATCTGCGATAAAGCAGTTAACTGTTAGATGCACAATGAATGTACAATTCAGATTTGACAACGAATACTATAGACAGATAGATGGAGTTACGATGGGATCACCATTGGGCCCACTACTGGCTGATATTTTCCTTGCAAAACTGGAAAACGGACCACTTAAAAGCATAATTAGCCATTTACCAACTTATTATCGCTATATAGAAGACACCTTCATAGTACTAGAAAAAGAAAATGATAAGGAAAATTTACTTAATACATTTAATAACGTTCATCCATCAGAAGATGAACAGAACGACAGCATATCATTTCTAGATGACCAACTAAAAAAAAGAGCAGACGGAACTTTAAAAAGAGGAGTACACAGAAAGTCTGCAGCAGGACAATACACTCATTTCCATAGTGCAGTTTCAATCAGATACAAAAGGAACTTGATAAAGATCTTGACACATCAAGCTAGAATGATTTGTTCTGAAGACACTATTCAAGAAGAATTGAATAATATTCGAAACCTACTTAGTATGAATGGGTTTCCCATGAAATCGATTGACAAACATATGATGGAGAAGAAAACAAGGACTAAGATACCCACCGTCCATAAGAAGGTACTATTCATAAAACTACAATTCATAAATGACACCAGTGAAGAAATCTTGACTCAGAAACTAAGAGCCGTACATAAAACATTTAATACTGCCAGATTAAATGCCATCTTCTACATCTATTCCAAAATAAGAACAGCCAACAAAGACAGACTGCCTGAATTCGCCAAATCTATGTGTATCTATCGTTTCAGCTGCTCCTGTGGAGCCAGTTATATTGGGCTTACAATTTGGCAAGTCCATCATCGCATTACTGAACATCATCCGTCGTGGTTAAATAAAGGACAGGTCAAAGTTATTGAAAGTTCTATTCTCTCTCACTTGGTTGACACAACTCATCAAGTCGAATTGAATAAATCTTTTAAGGCTATCTACAATATCCCATCAAACTTGCCACATAGTTTACAAGTGCGCCTCTTGCACAATGCGGAAGCCATCGCTCGTGACTCGTTATCTTATATCTAATTGACTCATCCATAAATTATAGTCTTGCCGAAAATTTTATTATAACAAATCAATCAAAGTTTTGATATTCGTAATGCATTTTTACTTGGTCAATCATTAATTTGAAAATAACCACTTACTTCACATTGTAATGGATGTGTTCTATAACTGGGAATGATTTTCAAACTCACATTTCCACGAGCATTACGCTTTGAGTAAGAATGGCAAATAGAGAATTGACTATACAATATCTTATTACTCATAAGTAAATTAATTTGGTTTAACGAGAAAAATATGTAGTTAGTAAATGTAGATATTTTGAGCACATCATTGGATTCTTTTTAAAGAGTTTTCCGAATCAAATGGAAATACTTTACACATTTTGCCTAAATAATACTTTCCAGAAACCTAGCAAACAATTGGCTATGCTTTTGATGCAGTTTTTTTTCTCTGAGCTGGTTGGTTTGGTCGGGGAGCTGCCATCATTCTTCTGAACGACATCATCAGCACAAAATTCTACCTGAACAAAATCCCATCAAAATCATCCACCTAAGCTACTAATCTTTTCCACGATTAATTATGCTTTTGTTGTCCTCATGGGATCACTGTTTAATCTTATCACCGATTTCATTATGTTTAGCAGAAGATTCTAGAATAAATTATATATACCTACCCTCATTTACTGTACATGCTTGATGATTTTGATAAACTTCCTAACTTCTGTTATCTGTTCATGCTTTAACAGTCTACTGGAGAAATGATAGTGACGTGAAAGATATGATGTATGGGCTTAAGTTTACAGCTTACCAGTAGGCATATTATGTAGTACAATGCATTGTATTCCTTACATGTTAAATACTTAATCTTGTAAAATAAACGGTGAATTGACTAATATACTTTCATAAATGCAATGAATATTGATAATCATCATGGCTATCCATTCTATAGTTGATTTTAACTTCCTGTACTGTATATGTGAGGCAATCATGATTTACTATTTGTATAACAGATTTTCATCATTATTGGGATAAATAACTATAAACTAGACTCATTTTCTCCATGTACATAATTCCTTTTTCTTATCATAAAGATAGAAGAAGCAAATATTGATGCTAAATAATATGAACATGTTCAATTATTTAACGCGATATATTACTTAAAACATGGAATATTCGTAGCAATAAGTTGTACATTTGATTAAAAGTACAAGCTTCCTGGTTCGCGTTTTTTGCGCAAATCATCAAACAACATCACGAGGCAGGACTTAATTTGGAATCGTGAAGGAAAAAGGAAAAGAGGAAGTCCAAATAATACATTACGTCGGGGAATAGAAGCGAATATAAAAAAGGTGAATAACTGGAAAGACCTGGAAAGTATTGCTCAGGACAGGGTTGGATGGAGAATGCTGATTAGCGGCCTATGCTCCTTCACAAGGAGTAACAGGCGTAAGTAAGTAAGTAATAAGAAGATAACATCAAATTATTATATATTCAGTCCTGAATGCTTCAAATTTAGTTATTGTGAAGCTAGAATTAAATAAAACTCAGAGTCTATTATTATCCATAAGTTAATTGATACAATACAGACATAGACATTATTATGTGTTGTTCTTGACAACAAAATATTTCTCAAAGTAGTTTCTGTAAACTAACCAATAAACGTTGTAAATGTTGAACAGATCGATCAGCTACCGGTTCATTATTAATCTCACGTAGCTCATCTCCAACATGTAAAGTACCTGTATTTGTTGAAAGAGAGATAAATTGTAATTCAGTATATTATTATACAGACAAAATAGATTGTGAAGATTGTGCATTGAAGTCGAGTCACATAGACTAAGAGTTACATTAAAACTTGATCGATACAATTTAGTTAACACTAAAGACTTGATAAATAGAACGTTGGTTAGTAATCAGTGATTAATCAGAAGAATTATCGGGATATTCCGTTCTGACACTCTATAGTTGTATGTATGTACACCTTTAGATTTGTAAAATCCATGAATATCAGGATTCTTAACGAAACTGGAGATCAAAATCTCACTGGGTTTTATCAAAATATCTACAAAGTATCAACTTAAAGCAACTTAATAAACAATAGTTAAGCCATAAGACAGTACACTTGAACGATTGATTAATCTATCAAGTAAGATATGGTTAATATCGATGAAACAGGATGAAATTAACAAATATTTGTCATCAGAAGGGGTAAACCTGGAAGCACTGGACGGCAGTTTCGTCCTAGTATAGGACTCCTCAGCAGTGTACACCCACGATCTCGCACTCCGCGACATACGAACCCAGGACCTATCAGTCTCGCGACAGGCCAATAAGTTAGAATTAGATAGTTGTTTCAAACTGTGTTAATCAATGGTAATGCAGTTGTACGCTATTCACAAGATTGTTTGTAAGTAGTGTATGGCATTAAAGTTGCGAAAATTGTCAGATGGAATGACGAGTTTCAGTGCATTGAAAAAATAGAGTTCATATAACACGTAGAGATTAGACGAAAAGATGGTTCAGACTGAAGAACACATCAAAAGATGCAAATGAAAGATTGAAGGAAAGGAATATGCATTATGTAATTACTTTGTAACTTTTCACAATACATCAGTTAACTCTACTCAAGCGTTCGTTAATTACGGTAACATGATTTTATCTTTAGTTATAAATCTATGGTACATATTTGTGAATATTATTTGATTATAATCGTATTAGTGTCTGGTAGATACTGCTCTCTCACTTCACTTTAGAAGGCTGAGTCACGATTATGGGTTTTCACCACACTATTTTGTTTCTCGAGCTAGCCGACACTCTTGATATATTTTAGACTTCTTGATAATTCACTTATTAGAAATGTTTTTCCATCAGCTGGGGAGGGTGGTTGCTAGTACATTATTGAGGGAATATTGAAGAAATCTCATTCCTTATCAACACTAAATCTCGATGGAAGGGCAGTTTGTGGAGCGTAAGAGTTAACAAGATCACGAACATACCAAGAATAGACAACTACTAAAAAAAAGAGCACATGATAGTTATCCCATCCTATTATGGGCTCCTTAGCAGCCAGCATCCGCTGCCAAACCAGAGGTTTAACCAAGTCTTGCACAGAGAGGTTAAACTTTAGAACAGTGATCCGTACTTAGCGGTTTGCACATCTGACTTTAATCAGTTCATGATACCGCCCAACCATCTCCGATTATTTTCTGTGGGTAGGTGCTTTACACCCAATAGAGTTAGATACCTTTGTTCAAGACTTCTTTACAGAATTCCAAAATGTTAACTACGAATTTAGCCATAAGTGAGTGAATGAAAACTACAAGTATTGGGGTTTGCTGAGATAATTGGATCATACTGAGGTCACAAACCGACCTAAGATAGTCATGTTTAGTTGTTCCGTAAATGAATAACTAGATAAAGTCATTAGGCTATAATTATTTACATATTTAAACTACATTTACAGATTATACAGGAATAATTATGTAGCTTATTAAATCACACAGCTTGTAATTCTATGGTTTGAATTATTTTTCCTGGTTAGTGTCGTTTTTGGCGAGTTAGTTTTCTACTGGATCGTGTCTCTAAAACCATACCCAATCCTCCTTCTTTATCCGAGCTTGAGGCCAACAGTAGCTTCAGAGGGACTCCAGGCAGAGTTGTCATTCTATGCTAGGGAAAAAATTCTTTTTTCTAGTTTGAAATTAATAAAGTCAAACCGTGTACAATTTAGACCATGAATGAACCTCTAAAATATTCCAGCTTATAGTGAGAATAATTGATGATGTTAACTATAAAATACCAAGATAACACTTAGTCATAATAAATTAATTTCATAGAATAAACCATTCAACATTCATAATAATTAGCTAATTTGAAAAGAATACACGATTCCTAACAGAAATTGGATAGATGTACAATTTAATGAACAGTTGAATAGAGCATATAAGTAATTACATTACTGACCTTGTCGATGTATCATTCCACCGTGTAGAATCCTTGCAACAATACACTTATTCTCTTCATTTAGCTTTAATGTAATACCCTATAGTATTAATCAAAACATAAACATGGATACAGAGGAAATGTATAATTAACCAACAAGAATTACAATTTAGTACAATTTAATTGAATAAGGTTTGTAATTCAGTTGAATACTGCTATGCCATTTCGTGGAAGGCAATGACTATGGAACTCAAAACAACTTTCAACGAATATCAAAGTCACAATCAACAATACCAACGTCAAAACAGTTCTACTATACGGAGCATGTTGACATTGGCTTCATTCAAAAGTATAAGTCATTATTCTTATGTTGGATTCTTAGTGATAGAACTAACTTCTTCATAGGTATGATATTAAATTACAAAAAAATGAAGTACAATTTATGCTCTCAAAATATTAATGTTACCGTCAATTCATATTATTGATTATTGATATTTGTTTGAAATGTGATCAAGCATTGTGAAGCTCTACTAAAGATGACAATGTAACTTATTGTTATGGCCCAAAGCCGCCAATCAGAAGCAGCGAATAATCAATTGGACCAGGGACGCGCAAAACACAAGCGAGCAGCCTAGAGTCCTGATTGGTCCTGGTCGCCGCCTAGCCCAGTCAGTTAAGTCCAGAACACCAATCTCAATCTCTGCAGTATGAATCCTTATGTTGCAAACATAGTGAGTTTATATACCAATCAAACAGGCCACAACGTACCATAAAAAAGAAAATAACATTTGTACGAAATTTGGCCAAATGTGACTGTGAATGTGGGAGTTAACAATTAATATGTAGTGTCAGTTATTATTCTAAGCCCATAATATATCTTATTCTAGCTTTCGGACTTCTCATTCTATTCATTCTACTTGAGTCATATTTTGACCTTGTTAGTTATTCACTTATCGGTCTTGACTGTTTTTATATGAGCGTATATGTGTGCACAATTCATATCCCATGACTCACCACATGTCTGTGGTTTATTTGGTCTGACTATAAATATTGCGTAACGCTTGACTAAAATGGAGTTGGCTTCCTGGCCATCTTCCCTGCGTGTCATTTCGCTTGGTTCTATCGCATTCACTTTACATACAAAATATATGTATTCATAAGTCAATTTTCGTTATTTGACTTATTTAATTCCGTTATTGACTAACGCGATTTAAGTCGACGATTATAAACGATTATAGGTGACAATATTCATTCATAGGATGATGGAGTCAGATAAACGGGCCACTAAAGAGGCATCAAGTAGATATGCGCCGCACAAATCACTCGATTTATGCTGTGATACGGCCGAGAGTGAGGAAAGTCAGCTCTCTCTCTTGAAATGCTCTCACATAGCCAAGTGCACACAAGCACTGCTAGCGAAATCGTACTTACTGCCTTCTTGCGGTGAGGATGCTCTTTACGAAATTAAATGTCCGGCACTTTAACCGGGTTGGTGAATATGGAGGATCCACTTAGGAAAGTTAGAAAACCCTTATTTCAAACCAATGGTGCACATGGGCTCCAGTATCCTGAAAGATCCTATTGTTGGTCACTGGTTACCATGAGACTGCATCTTCTGACGTTGCTCCATTGCCTTGTGGATCAGAACTTTGAGTCCAAAGCTTCAGTTGTGGCCCTCCTAAGGAAATCAACAGTTTCGGTTTGGGCACCCGGACAGTGGCGCACCGTAATGCGTAGTGATGACTAGAATGAATACTTCAGCACAAACATCAGACAGAAGTGGTGTTCAAATTTCGCCATATGCTTTTCACAGCTTTTCCTGTACACACCTTGACGTTGAAGTTTGTGCTGGTGATGTCGTTCAGAAGAACGATGAAAGCTCCACAAACAAACTATCCAGCTCAGAGAACAAAACTCCAACAAAATCAACCACTTGAGCTACAAATCTTCTCCTCCAGCGAGTTTTATAAATGAAGATTATCTCTTTTAATTTCTTACCATTGGTTCATCTGTATTCTTTTGAAATTGTACCAAACGTACACGTGTCACTTGTGGTTGATCTGTATCTGATTCCATATGATCATCTTCATCACCATTTAAAAATGATGACAGTGGTGGTGGAGTGACACGAATAGCTTCAGGGCCATAAACTTCTTGAGCTATTACATCATACGTTTGTAATAATGCCTGAAATATAAAATTTTTATCATATTAATAGATAGAATGATAATAAGGGAAACTGTATACTGAAATTATTGAACATTTGAATGATAAGATTTTGAGAGGGGTAAAATCCTTGTAAACTGAGTCATTTCATTTATCAAAGCCTCATATGAAAGAACCACAGTATGAGTTTTGTTTCTTTACAGAAGTATATCAATTGATCAAGATTTAAAGAGATATTTAATGATTATTTGACTAGAACCATTTTCAAATTGATTAATAAACTCAATGAATATAAAATGACTTAACAAAGTAGAATGTCAATAAATGACTGAGGTTCTAAGCGAAGTAAATACTTTTGCTACTGATTTATCACTGAGTGGGGATCAACTTTATATCAGTCAGGTCCTTCTTAGTGCAGATCGAATCCTATCGACCAAGTTGTAATGTAGCCCACTAGTCTAGGTGACTCGACATTGTGTGCACCATATTCAGATAAGATGGTAATTGGAGATAGTCAACAGGAAACCGTGGACCTAGGTTTCGTATTACTTGGCACTCGTCAACAAGGTGTACCTGTAATCTTAAAAGAACTGGTGCTACTTGATGGATTTGATCTCGTGTCACCCAGATTCACAATCAAAGACGTTACCACTGGGTTAACCAGGCCGCGAATTACCTCTTGTAAGACTGAGATATATTTACAATTGATTGATCACTGTGTAGTGATCAATGTCATGTATGTCAGGTCCTTTTTAGTAAATACTTCATAACGAGATTAATATAAACCGCATTTCAAATCGAACTATTCAAGCTTATAAATTTTGAAAAACATTAAACATTTAAAATAAATATCAAACTCTTAATTACTGTCCTACACAAGATATTTCAATTGTGATTATGATTGTTGGTAAGTATTGTTAAACTTTCATAAATGTGTCATACCATTATAAATCGTTTGCAATGCATTTGTCAGTATGAAAGTTTTGTAATTGGTTTTGAAAACCTTTTAATGTATAATAGGCTAGTGATACTGTACAATTGTCTCAGACCAAAGTAGATCTAGTATACCATTCGAACTATGGATTACATTGTAGTTAAAAGTTAAATCGCTTAACTGTTAAGCTACTATTTCAATGTGGAGTGAAAGTCAATCGTGAAGTGAAATCTCAATATTTCTTAGTTGTTTTTTGATAAAACAATTTGATCTGGGTCTTTTACTTTTATTCATTGATATAAAAAGAGAAATAAAAAAGCAATGATAAACAACAAAAGCTATTTTTGTGAGTCAATGTATCACTTCATTGGAAATCTGTTAAGTATTAACATATAGTTTTGTACCTGCTTTATTCTGTGGACAAATAAACTTTCGTTCAAATGCATAAATTACAGTTATATTCTTTTTTTATTCGAAAAACTACTGTAATTCAAACATGACCCACTTAATTCAATTTTTGTTACTTTAGTGTTCGAGCTTCTGGTTAGCCTTTTTTTAGAGAGTTAGATTAAAATGCAAAATCGTGCATGGAAGACAGTTGACAAACTTGTTCGAAGTAAAGACTGGTGTCAGAAAAGGTTGCTTACTCTCACCCTTTCTCTTTCTCCTGGTGATCGACTGGACTATGAAGATGTCAAAATCTGAGGAGAAGCATGGGAAACAGTGAACAACTGGGATGCAGCTGGAAGATCTAGGCTTCACAGATGATCTAGCACTTCGACCGCACACGCAACATCAAAGGCAGGAGAAGACGCCCAGTATAGCAGCATCCTCAGCAGCAGTAGGTTTCAATATACACAAATGGAAGAGCAAGATTCTCCGATACAAAACAGCATGCAACAAACGAATCACACTTGACAGAGAAGATTTGGAGGATGTAAGGACCTTTACATATCTGGGCGGCATAATTGATAAACACGGTGGATCTGATGTAGATGTGAAGGCGCGGATCGGAAAAGCAAGGGCAACATATTTACAAGTGAAGAACATCTGAAACTCAAAACAACTATCAAACAACACCAAAGTCAGAATTCTCAATACTATTCTACTGTAAGGGCGAAAACTTGGAGAACTACGAAAGTCATCATTCAGAAGATACAAGTATCTATTAACAGTTGTCTACACAAAATACTTCGGATCCGTTGACTAAACACTATCAGCAACAACCTACTATGGGAGAGAACAAACCAGATCCCAACGGAGGAAGTAATCAGAAAGAAACGCTGGAAGTGGATAGGATACATATTGAGGAAAGCGCTCAAATGCGTCACATGGTAAACCTACACAAGGGATCCTCAAGGCCAAAGGAAGAGAGGAATACCAAAGAACAGATTACGCCGAGAAATGGAGGCAGACATACATGAAAAGAACAAACAACAATTCGATAGAACTAGAATGGAAGGCCCAGGAGAGAGAGAGTTGTAGAATGCTAGTTGGCGGCCTATGCTCCATTGGGAATAACAGGCGTAAGCAAGTAAGTAATGTTCTAGCTTGAAAACGACTGTAATTTTCTAATTTCATATGCGTCGAGGTCTTGTTATTTATACTTTTATTTTACATTAGTTAAATCTTAAAAAAATTGAAAATTACGCGTTGTAAGCTTCAAGGTTGTACTAAGTAACCTAACATGTCATGGTCATAAACAAGATCGAGATGACATTTATCTCTTCCTGCTAATTAAGCATAGACCGGTGGGCGGACAAACCAAGGACGCAAAATACACTTTTGAGGAATCTAATATGAAACAAATAACCATTGGATTATTTTTTCTAATTAGTCATCAATTTGCAGTTTTTTTCTCAAATTGTATCTTCAGTACACGATCATTTCTATTACCGCAAATACTGTTACTACCTCTACTTCTCTAGAATTCTATCTGAAAATTATTATTAAAATATGATAACTTGAACCTATGAACACGTTAGTCAGGTTCTACGTTGCGTATAACCGACTAACTGATTATCAATTAACAATCATTAAATACAAGAAAAGAAAATCAAAAAAGAAGATCCAACTAGTATCGAATTGACGTTTTTCAAATCAAAATATCAATTAGCTTAATAAGAAAATCATGGAGTAAGTGTACCACAGGAATAAGCTTAAAACATCTGTGATGAATTTCCAGACGGTTTCTAGCCAATCAGAAAACAACTTTGACAAATGGATAGTTTTGCCAAATGTAAACATATATTTTTGTACATTTAATAAGTCTATTAATGTTTGTTACGTGTTACTCTGTCTGTAAATCGAAATAAACGACAAGTAAGCCCGTTCTAATGAATATAGATTTTACATATTCTGTAACCCTTAAAATGGCCTAAATAGATTTTCGAAAGTCCTCACATTGTTCTTAGTTACTGTTAAGTATTTAGGATAAGGATTGGGGATCTAGGGTTAGGATTCTCATCACGAATCGACATCAGCTATGATGTGAAAATGCTTTCTAATCATATGGATGGATGAACTTCAATCAAAAATGTTTGTGATATTTCTTCTATAAAGCCATGTACATGTTAAGGGTTTATGGTTAGGATTTGGGGATAGTGCCAATTTACTAGATATATACAATTCTTAGAGACAGAATCAAACATTTAGTAAGTTCAACACTAGCACTTTCACTTTCAATCCTAAATATTAACAACTGGGTAGGGAGGTTTGTGGATCTGAGGTAAATCATTATCGAAGATCTCGAAGTATTCGATGGACGTCTCATTCTAGTACTGGACTCCTTAAACGACCACGTCCGCAACCCAGCATCCGGGAGTTGGACTAGTGCATTCGGTCTCGTGCACGAACGTTTAACCACTAAGTGCAACATTTCAAACTTTTTGAAGTGAGACATTAACAAGTCAGTTGCCGACTCTGAAGTTTAGAACATAAGCGTCCGGGAGCAAGATCGAAGATCCTGCATTTTATGAAAGCCAGGAAGTATACACGGCTATTGAACATAATTAGTTAACTAATGAAAGTATAAAATAAAAACGTTTATTTTTATTATTAAAATCATGAGTTGACCAGAGCTAGACCATAAATAAAAGCTTAATAACACATACGTAAGACTAAGTGTTTTGAGACCGAATCCCGCGTGCGCGATCATGTGTGCGCATTGATAAGGGGCTCATACTATAATGAATCAACTTTCTAGTGATTCCAGGTTTGTAATAGTGATTTAGTTTAGATCGTTTATTTTTTTATAATGTGAAACTATCACAATCTCCACAAGTCCCTATATGAATAAAAGCAGGTTTTGAAAAATTTCGACCTAGAATTTCGACTAAGTTTAGTTCATCTACACAAACCTTCCTATCAATGTCACTCCAACAACGACTGAAGAAATCAGAATGTCCATCGGACAAATCAAGAGCGGGAAAGCAGCAGGACTTGGTAATATACCGGCTGAAGCACTGAAGTCAGACATCAAAGTAACTACAAACATGCGTTACCTTCTATTCGAAAAGATTTGGGACGAGGAACGAGTGCCGATTGGCTGGAAAGGACACTTCATCAAGATTCCAAGGAATGGAGAACTGAGCAAATCTGAAAACTACAGAGACATCAAAATACTGTCAATACTAAGGAAAGTCGGATGAAAGACGCAGTAGATGTCCAAGTTTTAGATCAACAAGCTGGATTCCGTAAGGACCGAACGTGCACAGACCAAGTGCGACACCACGATCATCGTCGAACAATCAGTTGAGTGGAACTCAACACTGTATATCAACTTCATTGATTATGAAAAGGCGTTCGACAGTGTGGATAGGAGCAAATTATGGAAACTTTTTTGACAATATGGAGTTCTTGAAAAGATTGTCAATATTATCCGGAACTCATACGACGGACTTCAGTGCAAAGCCGTGCACGGTCAGCTGACAGGTGCATTCCAAATAAGGAACGGAGTCAGACAAGGCTGCTTACTCTCATCCTTCCTCTTTCTTCTGGTGGTCAACTGGATTATGAAGACCCCGACATCTGAGGGAAAACACGGAATACAACGGACAGCTCAGTACACATTAGACGATTTGAACTTTGCAGATGACCTAGCCCTCCTTTCCCATACACATGAAAAATGCAGATAAAGACAGCCAGTGTGGCAGCAGTCTCTGCATCAGTAGGCCTCAACATACACAAGAGGAAAACCGAGGTCGTCAAATACAACACGGAGAAGACCAATACAATCACACTTGATAGTGAGACTCTGGGAGATGTAGAATCCTTCTCGAAGCATCATCGATGAACAAGGAGTATCTAGTACAGATGTGAATTCATGGATTGGCAAGGCAAGAGTCGCATTCCTACAATTGAGTCATTCCGTAACAGTATCGTAGTGGAAATTCGAAGCAACGATCACAGAGTCAAATTAAAAGCACGTTCGCAACCTTCAAAGTTGTAATTAAAAGTAACTGGAAATACGTTAACTTATTAGTAAATGAAAAACCTATACGCCTTCAATTGGACACGGCTTCCGATGTTACAAGAACACATGGCGTAAGTTAGGATGCCCACGCATCCTACCAACGGAACATGTTGCTCGTAATGCTTCAGGAGATATAGTGAAGCTGACAGGAGAACTCATATGCAACATTCAATTCATGAAAAATAAATTCACGGATGTTTGTTATCTTACAAATGGGCACGATTTAGATTTATTAGGATTAGACTGAACTGAGCAGGTTGATAAATTGAATAAATTATCAAATGAGGTATGTTCTTACAATGTTTCCTCTGAGTCTATCCAAATTCCAAATAACATTTCTAAATCAAATGCCCCCGATGTACTATTAATTCACAACAGTGTCCATAGTCAGAACGAGGTAAAACACAATCAAAAATGAGACGAACTAAGGGTAGAACGCTTCCTTTAAGTTCGTTTCATGGAAGCAGATAAAACATTCTCGTGAAAGCTTTCGAGTGTTATGTATGTTGTGAATAAAGACTTGGTGGGGATTACCAA